CGGCTGTGCCCGCCATGGAACCCAGATCCCACTTCTCCAAGTCCGAAGGTTTGGCAGCATCTGCCATCGAATCCACGCTGCCCGAGCCCTTGGTACTGTCTCTAACGCCCTCCACTTCCTTGATGCCTTTCTTCGCCAGCGTTCTGACATCAACGAAGTACTCCAATTCGTCTTCGTCGTACTTGTTGTGACTGAGTAGGGAGAATTCAGGGGGCAAGCATATATAAGGGTTGAAGAGTTATTAGGTTTATGGGGTTTATAGATCGAAGCTAGGGGGTAGCAAAGGAGCAAGGCCATAGGAGGATTCCATGGGTAGCAGGGGGTCAAAATTTAGGTCCATGGAAACATAGTGAGTCTGCACGCTAGAAGCCGCACTTGACATATTATAAGGTTTAGGGTTTAGGGTGTCTAGGCCGGCTATAGATGCTAATAGCGGCATTCAATTTGAGGGGTCAAGAGTTCCCATGCTGAACAACCTATACATCGATCGTAATATGGGGCACCCGATTTCAACATTTTCGAGTACAATGCAAATGATACCGTGAACATAAAAGATTCTGCGTCAAGTCATTCGAGGGTCTTGTGTACATAGTGATTTCGTATACTGCTGCATGCTAAAGCTGCCACACACAGCACCTGAGGCCCACATACATGTCTGTGCAGTTGAGAGACCGCACACAGCCAGGGTGATTTTCGCACCATTCAATAATCTTCCCGGTCTTCTTCCTTAGATACAGGCTTCAGAAAGTAAGGGATATTCGAAAGTTCCGCAGGCACCCAGATTGATAGACAATGGGCTGAGTATTCACTTAAGTTCAAAGGATGTGTCCCATGTTAATTATATGTCCAATCCTTGTAGAATCCTGACCAGCTGCTAGTCCATCCTCCTATGCAGTATTGGAGCCTAGATGCTTCGAAAATCCACACCCACCCTCCGAGACTGGCTTCGTCATATCCACTTCAGAGTACCAACCACCATTTGTCTCTGACTCGCGGTATTTCAAGGTTTCCTTGAAGACCTCCACCGACCTCAAGAAGCCCTCCTTAGTTGTTCGAAACACCTTCTACTTTCTGTCGCATTACGAGGGATGAATTTTATATGCAATTGCTTTATATAGGAAAGCTTCGCGATCCCCATCAGCAGATACCATGAGCTGAATCATGTGCCGTTGGACAGCCCCAGTCTTCAACCACATTGCATGGATATCTTCCGAGACCTGAAGCTTACCCGCCTTGGTACGTGAGCACAGGCGGCCAGCCTTGGCACGCATCCTCGCCCAGAGCTTCTTGTCCACGCCTTCTGGGGCCTGCTGGGGTTTGAGGTGTTGGCTTTAGTTCGTTTTTTGTAGACAGGGTTTCAGCAAGGGGCACACTACCAAACAAAGCTATATATAGGTATATACAAATTGTGACAGTATAGATGGATGGGACGGGAACACAGGGCCTGGCGCTTACATCTCGGGTTCACAGGGTACCAGGCTTCCACTTCTACACACGCAGGGTTGTTTGAGTTTCAGGGAATCAGTACTACCCCTCTTATATGTAGGTTTCAGGTAATGGGTGCAGGGTGTCAATGTTACCATGGTTGGAATTCTAGACCCATCCTAATATATCATGAAGTGCCTGTACTCATTCCCCATATGCGTTGCAAAGGAGATCTGGAAGTCTACTTGCTCGAGTGCATGGGTTTGCCTCAAGTAGCTTTGCCTTCCAAAGTTTGCCCATACACCAACCTGACCCTGACTAGATCCAAAATCCTTCATATTGGCAGCTTTTTTAAATTGACCTTTGACACTTATAAAACCCTGTCCTTGCAGAAGTCTTAACACCCTGCCTCGCAAGAATCAACTTCAGAAGCGGGCCCTGGCTGGGTTTGGGTTCTTGGCTGGGCTTCCGTTGATGGGCAGGCAGCGGTGGCTGCTGGGGCATTCTGCACNNAATAATACTCTGCTGCTTCTGCACCAGGTCCAGAAGCTGCTCACGCTCATCCTTATATACTGATCCCCA